AATGGGGGGGGGAGGGTAATTTAGCACTGAGGAAAGTTCATACGAACAATTACCATAAAAGGCACAGGGAAGTTACATTACGGCGGGGGGAAACTTCTAATAAAAGTCTCGAGAAACACAGTTAAAATGGTAATAATGAGTGTGTGTAATATCAGTCAGTTATGTGCCATGCGTGATACACGTTTAAGCAATCATGTATCGAAAGATAAATGACTGACGAGGCAGGTTTTTTCTTGTAGTAGGTTGCCATTTCTTTCTGCGGTAGACCAGTTGCCATCCAAGGCTATAGAACCGGTCTGTACTACTATTTACCCATAACTGGAGGGTGAAGAAGAGGATTCATACCTTTTCCAAATATGTTATCACTTAAGAGAATGTAATGGATTCGATTGGAATTCGAACTCGGCTCTCCGATTTCTCAGTTCGAGCCGCTATCCATTACTCCATCCTTGAAATGAAAGGAAGTGGAGAATATGAAGAAAAGAAGGATATATAACGATTAATCCCTGACTTGACGTGGTCAAGACAAAGTTTTCAGGAAAGTATTCACGTGGGAGTCTGTTCCAAAGTGACAATTCAGACATTTGAAATTTCTTTCTTACAGCGCGGTAGATAATAAGGATGAATTCTAGTTTATGTTTATCAATTGTCTTCTTTTTTTTTGACGATGATGTTCAACTTGTACAAGGCCCGAGGACAGGTCTGTACATTTTACGGTTGAAATGGCTTACTGTAACCGTAAGTTCTATGCTAACAATCTCTTCGATCGCACTTCTTGCTTGTAGACTTTTCTTCCGGTTTCTTGCTTTCCAATTAACTTTGATCTAAATACAATGTCAATCGTAATTCCTTTTCTTTTCTTGTCCTCTCTTCTAAGTAATGTGTTCTTTTTTTCATATTCTCTCACTATTCAGTACCCCCGTTGCATCTTAGTGACTTTATTGCCTTTATTGCGAAGTGATTAGAAAATATGAATAAATCTTATATTGTATAATATATTTTATTTTATTGTTTGTTTTATTCATGTCGTCTCTTTTTGAACAGAGGCAGAGAGAAGAGATACGACAGAAAAGATTAGAGGCAATAAAAGAGAAAGGTAAGAAGAACGAATTCTTCTTTACGTCTGTAGAGGTCAATTAGTTGGTGTGACCTTTCAAATTTATATTTACGTAAAATACCACAAAATATGAAACACTAAGAAGGAGCACAAAACGGTTTTTATAACAAGAACATTTATATTTATATATATAATGATATACAAGCATAATTAATAGGAGTTACTTCCATTTGATTGCAATTAAAGTCTTTACTAAGGAAATTTTTATCTGAGCTCATAGAAAGTTGAATGAAGTTGCCGTTCAAAATGTTCACTGTGAGAGAGTTAAAAGAATTCTGTAAAGCTGAGAATATGTTGATAAACTTTTAGCTTCAGAAGAGTTGAAGGAGTGAATGTTCCGGAAATTAGTTTCCGTTGTTTGTAGTTGAATATTCGCAATATATTGATGCTTGCAATGTTCTCTAATGTTCGTAATGTTTGTAATTAAGTTCCCCTACGTACGTGTATATGTGCGCGTGTGTGATGTTTTCATAGCGTCCGCCCGTAATATGGCAGAACATGTTCCTTAATTAGCTGCATATAGCCTACACTGTTGAGTTTCCCATCAACTTTAACAATTGGACCAATACTAAAGCTACTGAACGCACCCCACACCATTACATCCCCGCCTCCCACTTTCACCGTCTTTTTGACACATTTAGGATGGAATTCCTTGGTTGGGCGGGGTCTGACAAAGGATTTTCCATCCGATCCAAAAATGCAAAAGTCTGACTCATCAAAGAACTTTACACCAGTCGTCGGCCGTCCATTGAATGTGACTTTGCGAAATTCAGCCGCTTGAGTCGATTCCTCTCCGAAATAACTGGCTTTTTTCTAGTAATGTACCCGAAAAATCTCATCAGTACTGAAACGAGCTATAACAGCTACTGGACTTCATAAACCTATTTTACTGAAAATTAGTTTTAAGAGAAAGATTTTATAAATTTCAACCGACAGTAGCCCTGGCTGTTCGGTCGAGTGTTTCCTTGTAGGAAAACAATGGTTATCAATATCATTCTGAAGAACTACATATATGTTGCGTCACATCACTTACTATCTCGGTAATAATAAATACCACGACTATTTACCTAATCGAAGAAGCTTAGCTTTGTTTAGTCACAGGGCCATAAGTATGGATTATGTATTGATTATCGATCACTCTACTCAATCGTAACTACAGAACTAGATTGGAAACCAATCGACAACAACGAGGTCGCTAATAATTGTTTCCTAAACTTAAATGATATTTGTCACAAGGTTTCAAATACGAAGCATTCTCTAAGAGTGAAATTCATTATTCATTAATACAAATCCATAAAACCAGCTGCTTTTACTGATAGTTCGCCCAATACAAGGCCCAAGAGCCACTCGAAGTAGAGGGTTAAGAGTGCTGAAAGGAAGGCGGAAGTAAGAGAGTATTATGAGGATGAGTAGGATAGATGTCGTTTGACCCTGGACTTAAGGAAACCAAGTATATAGTTGTCATGGAAGCATCCCCTCGGGAGTTTGTTCCACAAAGTAAGAGTTCCGAGGAAGAAGCTATTGGTTTGGAAATTGCTTTTTATCAAATGGACATAAAAGGAATGGGAAAGTTTTGCCAGCTTAAGCACACGGCATTGCAGGTCCTAACTGTGAAGGTCTAAAGAATGTAATTCATCTGAACATCTGCTATAGCAATAGCGATATAGTAATGAAAGGCAGGCAACTTTTTATCTGTGGGACAAAGGTTGCCGGGGGGGGGGGGGAGAATAATTCCTCACCCACAAGGTCGCTTAAGTGCTTTTGAACTGGACTGTGAGGATTGTGCAGCACCAGCGCAGATATGGCAGCAATTTCTCCATTCTTGCTCTGATTTGACTCTTGTGAAGATTGACTATGGCAGCGGGAGTTTGGTATTTTCTGGAGTGATACAAGGAACTGACCATTCTTCGAATATTCTTTGTGATGGCACTCAATATACTCGTTCCATATGAGGCCGGGAGTGAGCTTTAGCACCAGTAGGCATTCCAAGCAATGAGATTATTTGAGAGAGTATGGCACCTCATCATTGGTTAAGGAACACGTTCTGCCATATTTGACTGACCAAATGCCATCTGGAGCTATTTATCAACAAGTTAATAGCCCCATTCACAAAACCAAAAATAATGCAATGTTTCCATTACCATAATATGGATGACATTGAGTGGCCTCCACAGAGTCTGGATCTGATTGAAAATTTATGGAATTATATTTCTAAAAGAGTTCATGCTAAAAAATCGACAAATTTAGCTCAATTACGATTATATTAAGCAAATATGGCAGAGCATTCCAAATGATTTTTGCACTCACTTATCAAGCTTGATGCCTAGGCTGTAATTAATAATAAAGATTACGCTACTAAACATTGATAAATATTTTTTTTGCTTATTTTTACAATACCTTTTTGCATTAAATATAATAATATCCATGCGGTCTTAAACTTATTTTACCGGCAAATTTGGATAATTTAAATTAATACAGCATTACAATTTTTCAAGTTGGAGAAAAATATACAATTTTATATCGTTCAAAAGAGAAACAAATTCTGCCAGGAAGCGTAAACAATAAAACTAATTTATATTGTTTTATTAGAAATATATTCTGAAATGAATAAAACTTTAATCATCGGTTTTAAACTTATCTTCGCCAGTGTAGATTAAGGAGAGCACAATTATCTAGAACGACACAATGAATCAACTTTCTGAGCAATGGATTCAATAAAATATTTCTATAATCATATTAGCCGGAGAATGTTAGCCTGAGAAAGAACAAAGAGACTCACTCTCATGGTTGTAAAGCTCTTCGTAACCGAAAGAACGGTGGTTTCTCCTTCAGGGAACTCAGTTTCCAATTCCGCCTGGGAGTTCATTGTCTTTAATAAGTTTTCTTGAGTGGGCAGACTGACCGACAGACAAAATAAACATTATTTAAAATAAACGGAGTGTCTACTTAAATTCACTAAAAATTAAAAATAAAATCAATTAATTTTTTACAAACTAACCAAATGAAATTTCTTTTTTTTAGCTACAAGATTAAATCACATACGTCTAATATTCAGCTATTTAACTTTGTCTAGGCAAGGCATGAAACCTAATACTCTGAATCTTGTATCACAATGACTGCCAGAACAGGACGTTTCACCATAAAACATCTTGTGAGATTAGAGACGCGATCAGATAAAAGAATGCAGAATAAAATCTTTTTCTACGAGTGATTCTTCAAGTTCGGACTTGCAGAAAATGCATGGGTAAAGTGATCGTTTTTTTTTTTTTTTTAAATAAGAGTAGCCTGTATGTGCGGGTATCGTGACTGGTATTATGCGGGTATCGTGACAGTTATAGGCATGGAAAATGGAATTAATGAGCCGAGTTCGAATTCCCGCTTAATCTGGTGCGTTCAAGTTTTCACTTTCGCACTAATACCTTCGGGAAAGGAACGAATCGATTTCTTCTCTACCCAACTAACTTAAAGAGAAACCAGTCTTTCAAGTTTCGATAGACTCCAAAACCGTCTCCGCGTCCTTGTGGGTGACGAATTATTTCCCACCCGACAACCTCTTTCTCACAAACGAAACGTCACATGCTTCTCGCCGCTCTTTCCATGGAAAATGTTCAGACGAACTACATTCCTTAGTTCCACCATTTCTAAGCTTGAGGGCTTCACATTGTAACGAATCACCTTCATTCCCTTCATTCCCTTCATATTCCATTGATGAAATATAACTTCCACTCGAGTAGTTCTTCGCACGAACCGCTATTTTGTGGAATTCACTCCCACGGGGATCCTTCCCAAATCATTATGATCTTAACCTATTAAAATCTAGGGTTAACCTTTATCTTCCGCACGTAAACCATGTCTATTATTCTATATTCCTCCACTTCGAGTTGACAGCCACATCAAGTTGAAACTACCGGTCTATATCTGATCACCGAAGTTAAGCAACGTCAAGACGGGTCAGTACTGAGATGAGCGACCGCTTAGGAATACTAGGTGCTTTAAGCTTGGGTATATGGGTGTGGTAATGAATAATGACTAGGAAAAGTTGCAATTCTGGTTAGGTTCGTTATATCTATTTATATGCACAATACCCTTGGGAAAGGCATGAATCCATCTCTTCCCCACCAAGCTATGTGTTAGTAAGAATTATATCGCTAAAACTATTATTATCTCTTCCCCCGCCAAAAAAAAAATGTTACAATTTAAAAATATTTTCTGGCTCTAAATAATCTGAAGGTTGGTAAATTGTAGAAAACGAATGAAGCACTTCTACCTCGAGTGGCTCTTGGGTTTTGTATAGGGTGAGAATCACTGTTAAAAAATAATTTCAGCAACTCGACGCTGCATTGATTCCACTGGAAGATCTCTGAAGAGATGTTGAGGCATACTATTTCGATCGCTGTGCACGGTTGGCTGATATTTGTAGGCACAGGGCGTTGCGTGCAAAAAGACCTCCCCGATGGGGCTTGTGCCGAGCAAACGTGGTGGATGTCTCCAGAAAGCTCTTCAATCCAATTCTGGGTAACGTGCTTAGAATAACTCAAGATTGTTTATATAGATGGAATCCATGAATAGGTAGAACATTATCAGGAAAGAGCCCCTTGTATCCTCTTTACATAGATGTAAACATGGTCCACCGCCTTCTCCTAGTCTTTTATAGGACTCATTCCACCGTTCTTATTGGAAAAGGCCCATTACACATTCACAAGAGAACATATACTTTTTAATTATTTAACCTCATGTCAAGGCGGAATGGAAGAGAATGAGAAAACTTTAGTGAGGAGAAAAGACAATATTTTTTCGGTCGATTTAGCTCGAACATTGATGCGTCTATTACGCTAACCATCACGGTCCTGCATTAATGTCGGAAGGTTATTAGCGAGGCATTCTGTATCATAACATAACTGGTCAATATAGGTGGTTTGCTGGAAGATCAACTCGTCTTGCTCAATGATTAGTTGTTCAGAGCAGCACATTACTCGCGAGATTTACTCGACAGGAGCATCCAGCAAAGCGCATTCATCGTTCGCGTAAGATTGTAGAAATATCAGAGATGGAACCATAGAGTTGTGAATTCTTTGGACGTTGTCTCCAAGAGATGTTAAGAATCGTTCTGAACATCTTCGAGACTTAAGTTTTAGTTAATGTCCAAGCAGTGGCATCATACATTATCACCGAATCTACATTTTTTTAAGCGTTTCACCCCAAGCAAGGCGGGAAGCCACAAGGACGTAAGGGGTTACAGAAAATTTAGAGTAAGATCATATAGGAGTGATAGAAGAAAGGATGAGAAGGGTAGTGGATAAGTCAGGGCAACTGGAGATGTCGATGGGCATTACATTTGAATAGCTGGAGATTTTGGCTCACAGGGAAACAGGAATAGGGAAGAGAGTTCCACAGGCGAGAGGTTCGAGACATGAAGCTATTGGAGTAGAAGAGACGGCTACATTTAGGAGTTTCGACAGTGAAAGGGTGAGAGCGGGATGCCAGCTTCGTAGGTCGCTTGAACTCATGAAGTCTGGGAACCAGCGAATGCAGCTCCTCGGATCAATTACCATGAAAGTATTTGTAGAACAGACAGAAAGAGGCGACGGCGAGTGACTGTAGACGAGATGCCAGAACAGGGACAATTATATTGCATATCCGCCTCTGGAGCCTATCAAGAACCCCGAGGCGAACAGAAGGAGCTCCAGACCATATAAGGCATCAATACTCCATGTAAGTGCGAATGGTTGATTTTTAGATCTGGAGGATCGATTCCGGGGAGAAAAATTTCCTGGCGCGGCACAGAGAGCCAACTTTCCTTGCGGTGGACGAAGCAATTGACTCAATGTATTTGTTCCATCCCAGGTCAGCCGTCAACGTGAGGCCGAGAAGACGCAGAGAGTTGCTCTCGAGAAGTTGAGCGTCAGACATTCTAATGGAGGGCAAGGAAGGATCTCTGTGGTGATTAATAGAGAGCAGTTTTGTTTCCTGTGCCAGTTCACAACCGATTGGAGGTCCTTTTCGAGACGCACGGCCAGGTTAGTTTTGTCAGTGACACTAGATTTGTTTTTGAGGCAGGAATAAATTGTGGTGTCATCCGCGTAGATGCTAACTTGGGAATTTATGTGGCCAGGAAGGTCATTTATGTAGATAAGGAATAGAGTGGGGCCTAGGATTAGTCATGAGAAATGTCATCATCGAGGTTTTACTTTATCAGCAAGACTCTCAAGTCGATATCCTGCCAAAAAAAAAGGTTGACGATATTGACAATGCAGATGACCTTTTCACTGCAGACACCACCATTACAAATACCACAGTACCCCCACATCATCTAGAAAATGCTGCCAATAATGTTGGACTCTATGTCAATGCCTCTAAGAACTGAATTCATAGGATTCAACCAGCAAGGCTCAATACAAACTGCCTCAGGTGAATCAATAAAATATGTCGAAAGGACAATAAATGAATTCAGGAAAATATAAGATGGCGATTGACGTTGTATTTAAATTTTTCATGTCTGTGAGTGTCTGGAACGCAAGAAATCGAAAGAGAGGCCCATAGGTGTAAAATGCGAAGAAAGTATATATATATATATATATATATATATATATACACATTATTTACTCCTGTTTCTCTCTGAAACTTCTCCACTGCCTTACCCGGGTATTGAACTCGCACTCTTCGACTCCTGTCACTGGATCTACCTAACGCCTTTATCCACTCAAGGACACATGGCACAGAGGGAAAATTAATAGGAGATAACTGATAACTGACATCCATTAGACATGGCACGTGGAACTAGAACAGTCTACCCAGTGAGCGAAATAAAGGGTTCAATTCGAAATTCCAACCACCTGAAGAAGGCCGGAGCGTACAACGGCCGAAACGGTTTAATAAATATGGCGACAAAGATGAGGACAATAGTCCGAATAATGTAAATAATGTACATAATACCTCATCTCAGAAATATATATATATATATATATATATATATATATATATATATATATATATATATATATATATATTTTATTCTTTTAATAGATAACACCACAATATTATAAAGGGGCTCAATGCAAAGAAAGACTTAATAACCTTTGAAGCCGTAATAACAGAAGGGATGCTGGCAACATTAAATAGGGTCTCTTTCGCCATAGAAGATGGTATATTGAAGTCTATATGAAAAAAACTGAGGGAAAAATTCAGTTTAACTGTTGTAAATGATTTCATTTTTAAATGACTTGAAATTAGTTTCTGCAAACAATAAAACGACATAACTTGTTGGCACGTCATCGTACAACGATAAAAATTGGAGGCTCAGGAACATATCGTAAGTAAATAACTGTGACATATGATTTTTCATTTATTGTTCATATGGCCATCCATACTCGAGAAATAATCTTTAAAACAGCAGCGTATAATCCGTCAATTTTTCCTCCGTTTGACAGCCGTGCACGCCATCAGGACATACATACGAACGAAGAGCGGCCGACTTGTGAAAAAGATCGTTTTTCTCTCGGAGGAAGATTATAAAGAATTTAAAGATGGCGCAGAGCCAGCGATTGAGATTCTAAAGAAATACCTCAGTGAAAACGAGGTTGCAGATCTTGAATCATGGGATAAAGAGGAGGTAAGTGACGAGAGCGTTTATTTCTCCCCCTCACATTTCTTATTTATCTTTAACTTTCTTTTTTCTATTATTTTCCCTTTTTGTTTTTCTCTTCGCCAAATTTATTTTCGTCTTTTTTCTTCTCTCTTGTTTTATGGCAGATTTTTGAGCATGCGCGCATTTGAAACTGCCCGAGAAATTAAAGGTCCTTGCTTCTTTAAAGTCAATGAGTAGGTCAATGAGTAGGTCAATGAGTAGGTCAATGAGTAGGTCAAATAAAGCGTTATCAACTTTTTCTTGGGGTGGGGTCACAGTATTTCTTTTTTTTTTCTTTGTCAGTTTGATTTTCCTTTATCTCTTTGTTCCTCTTGTTTTCTTTCGTTCTCTTTCTACACTTTCTCTCTTCCTCTCTCTCTTATGATTGTCTTTCTACACTTTCCCTTAATTTTTATTATTTTATTCTTTCAATATTATTTGTCTTTTTTTTTTTGCTAGTTTCCTTCTCTTTCTCTTTATTCATTTTCTTTGACTTTCCAATTTTTCTTTTCCCATTGTTTGCCTCAGAGGAATACCATAAAAAAGAATGTCTTAATCGCGGTGTCTTGTTTTGGAGATGGTAACTGACAGTTAAATCGATGTAGTGACAGCTTACGTTAGAGCAAGTTATCGGACGGAAGAACAGAAGTGACATATTCTTTTCGAATCTTGAACTAATTTATCTTCACAGTCATTTTTAGAAATTAACAAATACTTTCAGCAATCTAATATTTATTATTTTTAGGAACTTTCGCTTTATAGTTTTACGTTTTTATTTCCATTTACTCTAAAATTTTGTCGTTGCTCACATGTTTGGTCCATAGTATTCTCAGCATCATTCTCACACTCTTTGGGTTCTGTCACTCAAGGACACATGCCACAGTGGATAAAGGCGTTAGTTAGATCCAGTGACAGGACCCAAAGAGTGTGAGTTCAATATCTGGTTAACTCAATAAACCTTCGATACAGTTCACGATGGAGAAAGAGAGTAACAACACACTCCCATTCCTGCATGTCCTAATATCTCGAACAGAGAATGGGTTCAAGACATCCGTATACCGTAAACCGACATTCACTGGACAGTACCTCAATTTCAAATCCCACCATCCATACAGCGTAAAGAAAGGGATCGTCCGCTGCTTACAACACCGAGCAAAAGTCATAAATGGCAACCCAGAGACATTAGATAAAGAATTGGTCAGTATAAGTAGTACCCTACAATGTAACAACTACCCTGGGTACATGGCTGCAGCCCAAAAAAACTGGGATAAAGGCGTTGGTTATGTCCAGTGACAGGACCCTAACAGTGTGAGTTCAATACCTGGTTAAGGCGGTGGAGAACTTGGAGAGGGGAATTAACAGGAGATA